ACAGTGACTGGAAGGGGAAAAATAAGCCCTTCTGTCATCAAAAACCTCTATATACCTCTCGCTTCAAAGGTTAAATAAGCTTTTAGATACTTCACAGTCAGTTCTTCTTCCTTTAGGAACTTTCTTGCCGTTGGTATCAAAGGTATTTCTTGACTTTTTTTGATCATTAGGAGTCAAGTTTTTAAGTGAAGAGGTTTATAAACAAAAGGGAAAGGATAGGAGTGACTCTTGAAGTTATACTTCAAGTTGTTTTAAGGAAATTATTAAGACTTTATTAACAAGGAAGTATAAAAACTTCTTGCAAACATCTTTTTTGTGTGTGGTCAGAGGATCAGTGGAAAGAGTTATATTAATTAAATTTAATAATATTATAAAGTATCAATAAAATATTATAATAAAAAATTTAATATAATTTATTAAAAAAAATTATAAATAAATTTCTATTAATCAAAATTATATGTTTTGATAATATTATTAATAACATAAAAAATTTTTTTAAAGATATTGTTTTCTAATTAAACAAGTTTCTCAAGAAAAATATTATAATATCAAAAGATAAATAAAAAGTACATAATGTGATACCTTTATTTTTTAAAAGTTTTTTAAATAATAAAAGACTTTATTGAACAAATATTAAAATTTTCAAACTTTTATTTCAGTTAGACAAAGTTTTGAGAGATTTCTTTATTCTAATTTGTTAATATATTATTAATATTAATAATATAATATTGTATATTAGTAAAAAGATAAGTCTTTTAAACATTTTTCTTAAAATTTTCTTATAAAAATAATTAAGTTTTTCAAATATTACTAAACTTGAGAATATTTCAATCAGATAAATCCCTTTTAAGAAGAGATTGTTTATTTGAATAAAAAATTTTTTAAAAAACTTTGATTTAATTTAATTTATTTTTTTCTATTCTTTAATACATTAATTCAACAATTCATTGTTTTTTAAAATAATTTACAATAACAAACTGTTAGTGATGATCCTGATAGATAGAGATTCCAGTACTAATCTATCAGAGAAATAAAATATTGTTTCCTAAATCTGACTTAGAATATTTAATTGAGGTTTTGTTTTGTTTAATCTGAACTAGCTTAATGGATTCCTTATATTTTTTAAGTAGTGTAATCCTTTAATTAATAATGTACAAATATGTTGTAGATGTTTATTTGATATCTCAATAAAGACATGCCATGATGGCATGATTGAAGGTTAAAAATAAATAAAAATAATAAAAATAATAATTTTTAAAAATAAAAAAGCAATCTTCAGGTAATATTTCGTTTTTATCAAATTATAACAATTTTCAATAAAAAGTGATACCAAATAGAAATATCATCACTCATATATATCAGACTTTTAGAATTTCGTTAAAGTAATTTTGATGATTCGATGGTACTCATAAAATCGGTGACAATTGAGGTGATGGCGATGCATTTTGCAATTCCTATCTTTTATTGCATTTTCGAATCTTTTTTTTTGTCCGGCGTGGACTGAATTAAATAAACCCGATGCGCCCCATTTTACTAACAAATTAAGGATAAATGTATACCATCAGTGAGGCAAGTGATCGTCTAAGGTTAGATCTTCCAACAATTCTTCTATCCCAACTTCAGGGAAGCCTTCTTCCTCTTCCGCATCCTCTTCAGTAGCCATGTCCACATCCATTGATACTGTTGACTTATACAGATTAACATTTTGTCTGAGCTCAGGATCTTCCTCGAGATCTTGCAAAAACGTTTCATAGTCTTGTTCCATTTTTTCTAAATCTTGCTTCTTCTGACCCATCTCATCTTCCTCTTTTGTTAATGACTTGAGTTTCCAGTTACGTTGTTTGTTCTTCTTGCGTTTTTGTGGGAAGGACTTTTTGATGAGAATAACATCAGGTATGGTGCTCCGGTCAAGGGAGTCAAATGAAAGATTATTAAAATTGGATGACGAAAGATCATATCCTAAGGCAGTATCGCCTGGATTAAGAATGCAACCAAGGTGCGAACGCGCGAAGAAAGTGGTGTTATTTTTTCCAAAGTCGGAGGAACGTGCTACTTGGATATCGGCGAGAACAAACTTTTAGTGGTTATTAAAAAAATTAGTATATAACAATTTTACCAAATTCGGATGCATAGAATGAAATTCTAACCTTTCCTCGTACAGTTTCCAAAGGTTCAACATCCAAAATATGATACTCCACCAAATTCTTGGAGGATGCCAAGGAATTAAATGGGGTCCTCCAATACACTGTAGTGGAGATTTCGGATACTGGTTAAATCACAACATGAACAATTAGAAAAAATTGCGGCCAACGGTGAAATGATGAAATTAATCCTCCCAAAGATACGATTACCGGCTAGAGTGTTTGGGTCTATGACGTGTATAGAATTTCCGACTCGAAGGCAGATGACCAAAGGGCTAATACATGATATGATACATGTGTGATAAGTAGAAATTCAGAAGTCTATGTGCCGACTTAGGAGACCTCTGACCTGATGTTTCCTAGCGACCGCGCCATCTTAATCGGTAAACAAACAAGATCGTCTTTACAAATGGGTATAATCTCTACGGAATATGTAAATTTTGTATTGGAGGTGTTGTTATGAATATCGGTTGAAATCAACCGCTCAGATGTCTTTGTCCTGCGAATTGCATGAGAGTTAGTCAAATCCGAATGCTTAAAAAAAAACACGAGATGTCCGGTTTACCTTATCGGAACTACCGCATTCAAAAATTCCACCATTTTTATGGCGTGAGATCTATGAGCGTAAAAAAAATCAAGGCCATCTTTGATTTCTTTTATGTTAATGGTGTCTTTGTGGGCGTGATGTTTGATGATGAGTTGTTCCAGATAAAAAAAAGTCTTTTTGTGATTGACCTTTTGTCTGACTTGCACTACTGCTTGCCATGTGTCCTTTGCCATGACACGTGCGCATTCACCACATTGCTGGTAATTCACGACAAATTCTACCTCAAAAATTTGTTGCAGGATAGTCGACGCAAAAACCTGCAGAGATCGCGTACCATATCAACGACCAAGAAGGATACGGGAAGGAGATCATCTGTAACGAGTAAGATGACGTACCTCCTTCTGAATAGTCAGTTTGACCTTGATCCTTTTTGAATGAGGTTCTGTCCAAATGAATCCTGCGTCGATAAGTCTGACTTTATTCAAACCTTTCAATTTCTTTAGGCAGAGAGATAGCAATCTACTGCTCTCCAATTCTGCCCTAATCCATATATTTGGTGGTTGCAAATATCTTTCACAATTGCGGCAGAATTGCAAAGTGGCGTGCTTTGGGATGCCATCAGTTATGTCGACCTCGTTTCGAATGCAATTAATGCACATGTTTGAAGGATTCGGCGCGATTGCAGTGCCACATTGGCAACAAAGACTATTCATTATTAAATCGTATAAGTTGATTAGAAAGACGGAAGGAATGGAGAGAAAGGCGTAACACTTGCATTAGATGCTCTACGGCCACGGGATCGTAATTCATTTTCGAAAAAGTTTTTGCTAGGAAAGGTGCGCAGGCGTAGCAAGTCAATGTGTGATGGACCGATAAAGTTTTGCTTAGTAATCAGCATAATGTATCTTAAACAAATAACAATAAGTTTATGTAGGTTTAAATATATATATACAGTAATTAGTTATTAAACTTGTTTTTTTTTTTTATAATTGAGATAAGATAATTATATAACTGTCTAGTATGGGTATACCACTTATTAAAATAAAACAAGGAATAACATTAAGTAAAAAGAATTTTTCACTATATTATCTACAAGATCATACCAACATTCCCTAGAGACATGACAAAATATGATCCACTAAATAACTTGTTTTTATTTATTGAATCATTTTTTTGAATGAATGTACTATAATATCTCAAGTAAATAGAAATCAACTATCACAGATAATAATCAAAAGATAGGAAACAAGGATTATTGAAGAACATATTCAAGAAGGAATCTATCAAGACTGTTTAAAAGAAATTTTACGAAGAAATCTTGAAGAACAAGAGAATTTCCAGTGTATTATATGTCTCACTCGTTTCGGTGACTTCTACAGTTCTTGAATTTAATTCTCCATATTCTTGAAAAATATTATTAACACTAGAAAATAAAAAATATTTAATGTTAGCAAGCTATCTCGCATTCTTTTTTTCGACACCTCCACAAGAACGAATTATACATTTGGAGATGCATTTATGGAAATCGAGTTTATTAAGGCGTTGGGAACCAAATCTGAGGATCCGTCTCGAGAAAGAAAACATAGTAGGTATATTTAAGGAAAGAGTTCGCCTGGGAAAGTTTCTCTACTTATAATTTCGAAACTATATTTTAGCAATGACGTCAAAAAGCTAATTTTAGGAAGAGTCGATTCCAAAATCGTTTTTCGATCAACGGTAGGGTGAGGTGGTTTTATTTTTCTTTTTACGAAAGAATAGCTTTCATTGTGGATTCCCCTGCTGTTCGAACCTGACGTCGACAAGCGAAATATTTTCGTAGAACCAATTAGAGTTTGAAAATCCATAGGTGACACGAATAATACTCGTATTACAAGTATTTGAGCTTTTATGGCACAAGAATGGTTTGATGTACCAATGTTTTAGTGATGATAAAAATACGACGTTCGTACGCACGTACGTACCTACCTTCATATATAAATAGTCATTATGTTTCAATAAGAAGGATAATTACAGAATATCATTTTTTTGGAAAAAGATAATGCCGCCTAATCCACCCGAGGAGTTTTCGCCGGCAACGGTTTCTGCATATATTCCTGAATTAGAGACCACCACCTCTAAACATTCTATACATTCACCATCAAAGAGACGCAACACCAATCCACATAGTTTTCCGCAACCTTCGAATAACATGAGCACAACCACAACAAGCCTCATGGGTACATCGCTGACAGATGGTCCTCGAATTGACACCGACTTTGTGATACGCGGATACCAACAGAAGCAAGCTCCTCCACGGAAAAGATCTTTTTCCAAACCTCCTCAAGATCCCCAATCCTTAACACTGACTTCCACAACCCCTGTCATAAATTCGAACTTGTATAACAATAATAATTTTGAAAAGTCAAAAACTTCTCGTTTTGACGTATCCAATTTACATTCCATAGATTTCGGTCGGTCATACAAATCAAATAGTCTTCTTGGTAAACTGCGTCAGCAATATGAAGCGGTGGAAAAGGAAAAGGTTACTTCAAATCTGGCCTCGCGAACTCAACCTTCCGAGAAATCCCATTCACCGCCAATTAATGGTTTATCTGACCTCGTGAAATTTTTGCTTGGTTCTATTAACATGATTTCTGTAAAGTTTATTGTTTTGTGTTTACTATGGTATGCATCCTCTGCGGTGACAAATAATATCGGCAAACAAATTTTAAACCAATTCAATCATCCTGTCACCTTGACCTGGGTTCAGTTTGGTTTCGTCGGTTTTTACTGTTACGTAATCGGACATTTGTTTGGATATACTAAGATCAAAAGTCCCACCAAAAGCATTTTACGCACCACCTTACCCCTAAGCTTATTCTCGATCATTGGTCACGTATTATCCAGCATGGCGACGAGTATAGTTCCCGTGAGTTTCGTGCATACGATAAAGGTAAGCGTGTTGCTTATTAGTGATCCTTGGACTGATGTGAGCGTTGTTGTATTATCACCGGGATAACTTTTCTTCTGTCCTCAAAGGCCCTTTCACCTTTGTTTACGGTATTTTTTTATCGATTTGGATTCAAAGTCCACTATTCATACTCAGTATACATCTCATTAATACCCCTCACCATCGGTGTGATGCTTGCCTGTTCTTCCTCATCCACCGCAAGTTTCGTTGGGCTTCTCTTTGCCTTGGGATCAACCGTAATTTTCGTTGCTCAAAATATTTTTTCAAAGAAGTTACTTTTCAATCAAAGTCACCCCGGTTACGAAAAACATAAGCTCGACGAACTGAATCTATCTTTTTATTCGAGCACGATGGCCTTTCTTCTCATGAGTCCTTTGTGGTTGTACTACGAAGGTTTTCACCTGATCTTCTGGCCGGATCATCGTTACTTGTCGTCATCGCCATTATCACCACCCGCCCATTCATCAAATAGTTGGATCATTCTTTTTTATTTTTGGTTGAATGGATCTACTCATTTTGCTCAAAACATTTTGGCCTTGTCAATCCTATCCATTACCTCTCCTGTTACCTACTCGATAGCCTCATTAGTGAAAAGAATTTTTGTGATCACTGCGAGCATTATATGGTTTGGACAGAGGACCACCCTGATCCAAGGGATTGGGATAACTTTGACTTTTGGAGGCCTATTTATGTACAATCAAGCAAAGAGAGATGTCGAAAAGAAGGAAAGAAAAGCTCAGGAAAGGGAAGAGATTATATTACCTATTTCGAGATCAGAAAGCGAGATGGACATGAAGAAACACATAATGTGAAATATACATATTCATATACGTACAATGGTACATTTTAGATAAAACTTAATTTAGAAGGATGTGGGACAATCTAAAAAAAACTAATTTTCACCTGTATCACGAATACTTGAAAAAAAGCTAATATAGTAAACAGCCGAACAATTATATAATGCTAACCAAAGGTTCATGGAATTTGTTAAAGTTGATGATACATTATTGGTATTCTAGTAATTACTTGCAATATATGCGCATCCACCTTCTTGCACAATCAACACGACGAAACCGGTGCATAATGACAAATTTTGGGAGTCATAAATATAATTAATGATACAGTATGTACAGCATATATACAGCATATATACAGTATATACTGTATAGTTTACAAAAAATATTCGATATTCACAACGTTAGTGAAGGAGTTGTTTTCTGAATTTGATAGATCATAAATTAGCAATCCTACCCATTAATGATTATTGCAATCATTCATTGTGAGCCGGCTGTCAAGAATAAAGAGTGCGTGAAATAAAGTGTATGTACATATTATATGCGAAAACATTCTCTAATATGCTATTCTTTATTTACAATTGAACCTTTTCAATGACACTATTAGTACATTTGAATTTTCCAAATACTGTAAAACTATACGCAATTTGAATGCAGAGCAGTCTATGTAATCATGTGATCGAGTAATTTAATATATTAACGAAGTACATTCTTTTATTATTATTAAATTAAGGATGAGTCGGATAGTGGTTTGAAACTATTGGTTTATCTATTAAATAATGTTTCAAATCAATATGCTTTTTAATGTAAACAAGGTCTTATAATAAAACAAAATAATAATTTGGCATTAATAACATAAATAAATTGTCAATCAATTTCTACTATATAATTCGACAAATCAATTTCTATTATATAATTTGGCATTAATTCACATTATTTTTATTATATATTTCATTAAAATTTTTCTCAAAAAATCATTAGATATTTGTCAAAATTTCAATTTTATCAAAATTCATATATTTACAAAATTTTTAATTATATATTATATTTATGATTTAAAAGAATTACAACTAAATATTCATAAAAGTCTTACCAATTTGAAGTTCTATATCTAAATAAAATAAATCAATCAAAAATATTATGAATAGCAATTATATAGTATATTTACATTTAATTAAATAAAATTCAGTATTTTACAATTCAACATTCA